TGATGACTTTGGAAGGTCTTATGGCCTGTGAAAGGCCTGGTGACAAAGTGGTTATGATTGATGGACATTTTCCTTAGCCAACTATAAGATTTCCCACTTCTGGACTTGACCAGTCAGTGAATTGTAACACCTTCTATTTTTAGTGCTCTCCCAAGTGTATAAAAGTAGCTAGAACCCAAGGTAAGGAAGATCTTGGACCCAATTATTAGGGACCTTTGAACTCTTTAATAAATTGATTAATCATGCTTGGAATTCTCAGTGACTTTTATTACAGATTGAAATTTTCTGGCCCTCATTTCTGAAGTTGTCAGTCTGTGTGATGGGAAAAAGATTTAGAGGAGAGGGTTTGAGGCAAATATGAGTTCCATTTTGGACATGATTAATTTGACCTGCCAATGAAATACCCAGGTAAATGTCCATCCAGTAGGTAACTGGCAATGAGAGTTAAATAGAGAATAAGTCTGGATCTGTAGTTTGGAAGTCATCTGTATAGATAAGCTAATCAAACCCCATTGGAGTTGATGAGATCACTGAGGGAGTCTAGTGCAGGGCTTCTTAAACTTTTTCCACTCCCGACCTCTTTTAGCGTTTTGGCAACATTCCTTGGCGTTGCATGGTGTGAGGACATTGCATAGTGCAAAAGTGCGCATGCTTTATGTTTACAACCAAGGCTGCAGTGAAGTTACATGAAGCAACATGGGCAAGCACTGCCAGACATACCTCAGATTCATTACGCATTTGATTTTGAATTAATATTTGGTGGTTGTGCATTCAGAAACCTTTTACTGTTGCCAGATTTTTTGCAACCCCTTACAGGGTCACAACCCACAGTTTAAGAAGCACTGGTAGAGGAAGAGAAGAGAGCACAGGAGAGCTCGTTGAGGGTCACCCATATTTAATGGGCAGGAGACAGTTGATGTTGACTTGGTAAAAGACAATGAGAAAAGGTCTGACCGTAGGAAGAGAACAGGTAGAGAGCAGTATCACCAATCATAGGATCACAGCTCTAGTATTTGAAGGGAGCTCATAGGCCATCTAGACCAATCCTCTCATTTTACAGATAACAAGGGATAAGAGAGAATCTAATCTGAGAGGAGGGAGAGTTGGCCAGAGTCCTAAACTGCTGAGGGGTAAAACAGAACAAGGACATAGAAAAGGATTTCACGTTTAAGCGATTGCTGGCAACATTGGAGAAAGCAGTTTGCAGGAATACATGTTAAAAGACTGAGATGTGAGTACATAGGGGCAATGAATATAGAAGCAAAGGTTAAGGATGGGCAGGCTAGACATCTTTCAAAGGAGTGAGGTGAGATTTCAGGATGAGAGACAGAGAGTAGGATGGTCTCTTTTATCCCTTCCAACTCCAAGATTGTGATGCTAAGATTGTAAGTGTTTTTTGACCAAAGGAGGATAGCGTGACTTAGAACTTTCAGCCTTTTAGTAGGAGCTAAGAAGCTTCTAAGTCCTGACTCCAACTTTCCCCTCCTTTAGCAGTAGAAGCCATTCATTAGTTGACCTTAAATATCCATTTATTTGAAGAATCAACTGCACAAACTCTCATCTAGCCTTAGAGAAGTCACCATAGTTCCCCTTTAGTCATTTCTTTCCTTCCAATCAATTTTATGGCCAAAAAATTCCTTTGCTTGATGATGCATAACAAATACAATGTTTACTTTGTATAATACTCATATTAGGGGGACGCACTAACAGCCATCTTACTAAGTATACTTTCAAGAGCTTGTTACCCACACTGTATTTCTAGTTATTTCAAGTTATTCTGCATCCACTGAAAAGCTAATATAAATGAAAGTATTATTTTTTTCACCATACATCAAAATTTCTTAACCTGGAGTCTGTGAACTTAAAAAAAAAATGATAACTATAACATTGTAACTGGTTTCCTTTGTAATTCTACATATTTTATGTTTAAAAACATTATTCTTGGGGATTCCATAGGCTTAACCAGTCTGGTAGTGTTCATGACATTAAAAAAAATACAATTAAGAACCCCTGCTATTTATTATTATTGTACAATAACAGTTTCTCCTCTACTCAATGGGTCAGTGGGTTTGACTACAGTATTTTATGGGCTCATTAGCCATTTCACGATAGTTGCAAAAGAATTAAAATTACAAACCACCCAAAGGGCAATGAAAAGATGTATGGTGGGTGTGAGCAGGTCGCAGCATGTTACCAACCAAGACTTGCATATAAGAAGTGGCATGGTATCCTTTCTCTCCTGTTAAACGACCAACAGTCTGAAGGTTCTTTAGAATTCATTTAGCAAAACCTCATTTTATAGATAAGGATGTTGAACTCCAAAGTGCGATGTTGTGACATCAGACTAGTTGGTAAAGCCGAGATTCAAACCCAATTCTTGATTGTATATCCATTATACCATGCTGCCTCTAAGGATGTGAATGATAGCAGAGATAGGCCAGTCAACAGAATGAAACAATAGACAAACCTGTTAAGGTTAACATTGGTACCCCCAAATACTATTTACAAACAGGATCGAATAGTCTTAGAATTGAAAGGGATGCCATAAGCCATCCAGTCCAATTCATCTCTGAACAGAATAAGAGGAAACACATTAAGTAGAATATTTATGGGAAACTTATGAAGACTAAGAATGTAAAGGAATTTCAAAAGCTGAAAAGGCATATTCAGGGCTTAAGAAAATGCAGTTTGCTCTGATAGAAAGAATACCTGTACCAATCAAAATAATCAAATCCTGGTTCTTTCAGAGTAGAGGTTAGGATGAGATCTTGGCTTTATGGATTTTTTTTTTAAACTGCTAATATTTATTTTTTGATATTCACTATTTTCTTCTTTTAGGTTACATCTGATGCCAGAAGGCAAGCACAACCTGCATTTGCGCTTTGCAGATGAATTCAACAAACTAGTAGAAGACTTCCTACAGTGAAAAAAAAAAAGTGGCCAAAATCTTTCTGGTTTTCACATACGGCCATCTTTAAATCATATTGTAAATTGCTTTTCTTTTAGAAAAAATAAGAATTATCAGGATCAATCATGTTTATGAGAGCACCTTAATTTTGTAGTAATAGCTACCCCATTCCCAAAAAGTAAATCTTACTAATGAAATTTCTTACTGATAAATTGTCAACCCCTTCCAAATTCTCCGTTTCTTCCTGTAAAATTCCTTTAGTTCTAAATAAATTGCTGTAGATTGGGCCATTTGTTTTTCATGTCTGGTATATTACTAAACAAAATTTTTAAAAATCTTGAAATTATGCTGTATCTTTCTTTTAAAAGCAGATAGCACATTTCCTGTTGCTTTATTTATAATCACAAGGGCCCTCAGAGAGGAAAAGAATATATTGTCCCACTTTAAGGTAAAAGAAATTTAGAATAATAAGCAACTAGTTAACAGTCACTTATTCAGCTTATTAATAAGGCAAATTATAACATGAAATCAAGGCAGTTTCCTCTGTCCCAATCTAGAACTCACTACTCTTCCAGGTCAATTTTGATAGGCTCACAGGTTTTAAAAAAAGGAATCATGATTTTTGTTACATAAGGGGCAAGAAGGCTGTTACTAGTATACTCTTTTATTGCTTCCACGATTTCCTTAAGTTCCATGTATGTATTTAAAAATGTGAATAAAGAAATGAATTATAAGATGATAAATTGTATAAAGGCAAGGCTTTAGATGCCCTTTTATGATTATAGGCAAGTGTAGTAGCTAGCTGTGTAAGACCATAGGCATGTCACTCTCTGGGCCTCAGTTTCCTTATCTGTAAAATGTAAGGATTGGGGCAGTTAGGTGGTGCAGTGGATAGAGCACTGGTTTTGGAGTCAGGAAGAACTGATATCAAATCCGGCCTCAAACACGTATTACTCACTTGCTGTGTGACCCTGGGCAAGTCATTTAACCCCAGTTGCCTCACCAAAAATAAATAAATAAATAAATAAATAAAATAAAATGTGAGGCATAGCTTGAGATGCCTGTCAGCTTGCATCTTTGATCCTATGATTCCCGTCCCAAGCCAAACTGTGTTATGTCTAAGTAAGTCTCATCACCAATTACAGGGAGGAACCATCTGACAATTCAACCCACTCCTTCTTTTCATCTGAGTTCCTAATGATCTCTGAGGAAATCCAGGCTGGAAACTTGCTTTTTTTCTCCTAGTAAAAGCAGGCTCAGGAGCTCTGCTAATGACCTCGGCATTCACTCCCTGCCTCTTCTCTGACCCACATGGTCCAACAGCAAGTTTATGTGCCCCATTCCAGTCCTGGACAGAGCAGGACATAACTGAACCTGCCAATGGTACTATACAGCACTTAAGTAGTAGTTTTATGAGATGGACTCGAGGGACTGAAGAAAGAGGGAGGGATGTAAGGGAGAATACATGTCCACAGGGAAAAGTAAGTAAATACAAAATACATACAAGGTAATTTGGGGTTGGGGAGGGCATTAACAACAGGGAGTATCAGGAAAAACTTCCTCTAAGAGGTGGTACCCAGTTGAGCCTTGAAGGTAGCCAAAGATTGTAAGAGTCCTGCTCATTTATTTTAAACATGTGAATTAAGGAAAAGTGAATTATAAAATTATAAAGAATAGTCAAGACGAGGCTTTAGGTACATGCCTTTTATGAGTATAGGTATTTTAACATAGATATTACCATAATTTTAAAGTGTTCCACATTATTACACCAACAATTAACTTCTGACAGTGGCAAAACTGAGCACCATATAGTATACAAGTAGAAAGACCATGCGTAAGCACAATAGTATACAGTCCATTTAAGATGCATAATGTATTCAGATGTCCCTAAGCCTCATCCTCCCCTTCTTCCTCCTCAAATTCCCCTTGTTCATCAGCAGTGGCATCTTGGTACTGCTGATATTCAGACACCAGGTCATTCATGTTGCTCTCTGCTTCAGTGAACTCCATCTCATCCATGCCTTCACCCGTGTACCAGTGCAAGAAAGCCTTACGACGGAACATGGCCGTGAACTGCTCTGAAATGCGCTTGAACAGCTCCTGGATGGCTGTGCTATTGCCAATGAAGGTGGCAGACATCTTGAGGCCCCGGGGTGGAATGTCACACACGGCTGTCTTCACGTTGTTGGGGATCCACTCCACAAAGTAGCTGCTGTTTTTGTTCTGCACATTGAGCATCTGCTCATCCACCTCTTTCATGGACATGCGGCCCCTGAAGATGGCGGCCACAGTCAGGTAGCGGCCGTGGCGGGGGTCACAGGCAGCCATCATGTTCTTAGAATCGAACATCTGCTGGGTGAGTTCAGGCACCGTCAGAGCCCGGTACTGCTGGCTGCCACGGCTGGTCAGAGGGGCAAAGCCTGGCATGAAGAAGTGCAGGCGGGGGAATGGCACCATGTTCACTGCCAGTTTGCGGAGATCAGCATTCAGCTGACCTGGGAACCGCAGACAGGTGGTGACTCCACTCATGGTGGCAGAGACCAAGTGGTTGAGGTCTCCATAAGTGGGTGTGGTCAGCTTCAGGGTTCTGAAGCAAATGTCATAGAGAGCTTCATTGTCAATGGAATAGGTCTCATCTGTGTTCTCCACCAACTGGTGGACAGATAGGGTGGCATTGTAGGGCTCAACTACAGTGTCTGATACTTTGGGGGAGGGCATCACACTGAAGGTATTCATGATTCTGTCTGGGTACTCTTCCCTGATCTTGCTGATGAGCAGGGTTCCCATTCCAGACCCAGTACCACCTCCCAGGGAATGGGTCAGCTGGAAGCCCTGGAGACAGTCACAGCTTTCTGACTCCTTCCTTACTACATCCAGGACAGAATCTACTAATTCTGCTCCTTCTGTGTAGTGGCCTTTTGCCCAGTTATTTCCTGCACCACTCTGGCCTGGAAGGGGAAGGGGAAGGAGAAAAAGGCCAAATTAGATGTTGAAATATTCTTGAAAGGGGCATTTTCAGTTCTCCAATTTTGACTATATTGAAAAATATGGTACTAATTTCAAAGATACAGATTTTCTGATTAATAATTCTTTAGATCAGAGGTGGGAATCCTTAGTTTTATATGTCTGTGGGTGGTGGTAGTGGTGGTGGTGTGAACTGAGACACCCCAAAAAGTACCTACTGGATTTTTTTTGACAGAGAAAAAGGTTCAAGTCAATTATAAAATAGGGACTCTAACTTTATGGAGGGGAGAACAATTCACAAAAAGGGAGAAAGGCAGACAGTAGGTAAAACAACTGTTTTATGTTATCACTGACTCTGAAATGCCAGCTAGCTAATTAATCAATGTTTACTGGCCTTTAGCCATTTTTTTTTTGCCTATAAGCCTGTAAAGATTTTACTCTAGTGTTAGCTTCTGCAACTCAATGGGAGTAGGAGTGGAAATTCTTCCTTGGTTAGTAGAGACAGCAACCAAAGCAATGTTACCCCACAGGCTGGATGAAATCTAGTGAAGGAGTGGTTAGGTCTGTGAGCTGATGTGTCACACCTCAGCTTGGCTGTAAGAAAGACAGTGAATCATTTAACTAGTTCCAATTTATGATTACATACCAAAAACGAAGTTATCTGGCCTAAAGATCTGGCCAAATGGTCCAGATCTGACTGAGTCCATTGTGCCAGGCTCCAAATCCACCAGGATCGCCCGAGGTACATATTTGTTACCTGTAAAAGGAACCAAAGCCCTTGTTAGATCTGTAGTCAATTTTTTAGTCACCAGAGGAGACAGTGCTCAATGCAGTTTCCTCATCAGTCTTGACTGGAGAAAATTCTAGCATGCAGAGAAAAAAAAATTGGTAGGATTATTTTTTTCTGCTTAAGAAAAATCATCCCCAAATAATAAATCTATGTAACCTTGTCAGCTATATGACATTTACAGGATTTAAAAGTGCCTCCTCAGCAGCAACACTCATCATGATTCAATTAACACATCTTTCATTTATGTTTCATTTCTATGTTGTTCATTAGCCATAGTATGGAAAAATTAAAAAAAAAAAAAGATACAAAAATAGTTACCAGCCGCTTCATTGTAGTACACGTTGATTCTCTCTAGCTGCAGGTCACTGTCTCCATGGTAACTGCCAGTGGGGTCAATGCCATGTTCATCACTGATGACCTCCCAAAACTGAAACAGATTTTTAGTGAGTAGTGAGTTAAGAGGGTATGAAAGACATTTCAATGTCACTAAAGATGGCCTCTTTTTTCTTTTTCCTACCACCTTCCTGGAACAGTGGCCACTCTGGTCAGATAGCTAAAGACACTATTCCAAGAAAAAGACAAGCAAGCACAAAATAGGGCATTTCTACCACCACCAGCAAGCAAAGCTGTTGTGGTGCCTGGATAGCTGCAGAGCTTCGGCCATGTTATAGCATGGAAGAAGCAGCAGTGAATTCATCAATTCCATTTTGAGGAAAGGAATGACAAGACAGTCTAACAGTGAAGGCTAATGCTACTTTGGATAGAGTCAGAAATGAACAGTATCAACGGCATTGCCTATTGATAAAACAGCCTTGGTTTGACCTAAAGCAGCCTGAGGCCCAAGGTTCAAGTTCTGACAGTTCCAATGATCAATGATCTTGGTACCAAACCCCACCCAATTCATCCAAGAAACATGATTTTTATGCCACTGACCTACATACTGGTTTAAACACCATTCACATAGAGCGAGTGCATGGGGGAAGGGCAGGCAGGAGGCTGGGGCGGGGGAGGAGGTGAGCTCTGAGACAATTTAGTGTTTTCTTCAAGAAGATTGTTGAATCTATTGTAAATTCACAGCAGGAAAGGGGTGAGGCTGAGGGTGAGCAATATGGCGGTTTGGAGAGAGACCACATCTTTGCCAGAGACATACACTCATGCCAAGCTATAACACCACTCCCCTTGTTAATTCACAGGCATGATTATAATAATTACATTACCTTAGAAGGATGATCCAAGCTTAGTCTTTGGAAGGATCGACAACGCACCCATATTGAGTTAGGGAATTTGTCTAAAATATCTTTTTATTATGTGAACCCTTAATCTTTAATTAATATTAATCTTAAACCTTAATCATAAACCATATTTGCCACTCAGTGTCTGAATGCATGAGTTTTTTTTAAATGGAATTCATACATGCGTGCACAAGCATACACATATATACCAGAATATGTACATATGAATTACATGAGCTTAACATGTCACTGGGTAAATATTCCAACTGAACTAGCCCTTAGATAAAATTACGCACAAGCCTATGTCCGTACGTCATCAGATGGCCACGGAAGAAAATACAAAGGGGTTTAAATAGGCTTGGGGTTTTTATTCTTTTTTTTAAGCTCGAGCTCTGATTCAGGGGAATTAAGGCGCAGGTTGAGAGGGGCCAGACCATCAGCGTGAAGGAATGCACAAACCCCAAGTGGCTGGCAGTTCTTACTGGCCCGTCCTTTCCCAGCCCGCAGAGCCACCCAGCACCCACTTCCTGACCGCCACATGCCTCACCTTGGCTCCTATCTGGTTGCCGCACTGGCCAGCCTGGATGTGCACGATCTCCCGCATGGTGCCTGCTTGCGACAGTGATTGTTCGTTTCCCCAGTCGGCCCAAGCTCGTGCCGATGCACTAGCTTTCCTGATCCCGAGGCTGCAGCTGAGAGCGGCCGAGCCCCAAGTGGAGCATTTTATATGGGGGGGCGGAGAAAGCACGCCTGTGCCCCGCCCCCTTCATTCACACGGTAGCCGCCAGCCAGCCTCGGTTCTCCCTCTCCGCCTCTGCGCACCACCCGCCCCGGCTGCCTCGGTGAGGTAATGCGCTAGCCCGGGAGGCGATTGCGAGCCCCTCTCGGCGCAGGGCGGGTCCGGGTGCTGCATTGTCCCGGGCACCGGGGAAAGGCGAGGGGTGGGGCCGAATGGGGAGCCGGGGACGCAGAGAAAGAAATAAAGGAGTTGGGGCATCGCTTTGGCCATTGGGGCACACGAATTGGGGAGAGGGGTGTGTATCTGCGTGCAACCTGGGCTGCACTGATGGGAGGGGTCTCGAGCTAGGCGTGGGCTGCGGGTGACTGCAGTGAAGGGCCTTGCCTGACCGCCCTTCCTCCTGGGGGTGTCCCTCCTCATCCTGTCTAGCTTCCTCCACTAATAGCCTGGACCCGTCTGTGTAGATCCCCGCCACCCACTGCACTCGACCCCAACCCCAATTCCTTCAGCGTCCTCTCGGAACCAAGAGGCTAGTCTGGCACCCTGGGCCGGGAATCGTACACCCCGGTGGAAACGTGGTCCTTCCTGCTTCCCCGAAAGTCTCCTCTTCCCCCACCCCTTTCCATTCCCACTTCCTCCTGCCTGCCCCTGTCCGGGGCTCTGGGCCCAGCTGAGGACCCAGAAGGGGTGGAGCGCTGCGCGTAGCAGGGATTTGGTGCCACTGGGGAGAGAAATCCATGAGCTGCCTCGTGGGTGGGGGCGAGGGGACAGGTTGGAAGAAAAGCCCGAAGTGAACCGGGTGGGGAAGCATAGGTGACCATCCTCCCGGCCTCCCGTCTAAGTCAGACGTCCTTCGGGGAGGGGGTGGGGAGTATGACTCGGGGTTGGAAGGACAACTGGTGGCTCGATTTCCTAAGCAGAGGCGGAAGAGGAGGCCTTTGCAGGTGCTAGGGTATGACACCTGGTTATTGGGGTGTTCCTTTCACCTTGTAGGGTAGAGAAAGCTGAGCCAGAACCCTGAGGAGCAGAGTGTGGAAAACTGGATCAGTGTGTGGGGGTGTGAAGGGTGTATGTTTTAAATCTGGAGAGAAGAGGTGAGGCTCCAGAGCTCCAGTTGTGGGGAGGGAGGGGAAATGGCCAGCTTCGGTTCTTTTCCAGGGCCGGGTGGGTAGAGCAGTAGAGCAAGCAGACCTCACAATTGATCTTTGAGTCACCATTGACCACTTTGAACTAGTCTCCCCTCTCCTTGCGTCTATAACTATAAAATGTGGGTGACACCTACCTCCTTACCAGTGTTTTGTGAGTAGAAAATGAGAGGGTATGGAGAAATAATAACTCAGCTTTAAGGTCGAGCTTGTAGTTCAAAAGATCCCATATAAAGGGCATTCTGATTCTCCCCCTACCCCACCCCTAGTTATAGGCATTCCCTCAGTCTTGATATATACTTTGTATATAAGTATTATACATATCATTTACTTGAATATATGTGTCCTCCAAAGAGAATACAGTTTCCATGAAGGTAGAGACTGTTTCATCTTTCTCCTTGTATCCCCCAGCAACATCAGCCGCTTAATACATTTGTTAAATTGAATTGCCTGTTAGTGGTTGCACAAGCTATGATATTTCCATATGCATATATAAAGTATATCAAGCACATAAGCACTTAATAAATGCTTGTTTGACAAACTTGATTATTTAACAGACTTTTTTTTTTTTTTAGAGACTACAGAATGCAAGGGAAATAGCGTTGGGTAGAGCTTTTTTGGAGTAAAGAAGAGTCCTACTTCTGATACATTCTTTTTGTGTCCCAGGCAGATTTTTAAACCCAGGTAAGTTTTTGATGAGTTGCCAACACACAGTCACCAGAAGGAGTTTCCACACTGAGGGCTCCATACCTTAAGAAAATGACAGGCTGAAACCCCACCTTAGTGAAAAGGAAAAAAGTCCTGGATACAGGAGATGCAAAGATGAAAAATGACATAGTCTCCGTCCTCAAGTCTTCCACATCTGGAAGGGATGTGACATAACTAATATTTATATGTCACTTTAAGGTTCATACATTATCTTATTAGATCCTCATTACAAACTGTATGGGGTCAGTGATCTGAGCATTATTAATACCATTTTACAGATGAGGATGCTGAGGCTGAGAAAGAATGTGATTTTCTCATGGTTTGAAACCTCATTGTCCTAATTTTAATCCTAACACTATTCATTATATCACATGTTCCTGATTCCAAATCAGGTCATTTTTCTATGATATTCCTCCTATCCCTTTAATGTACTCATGTTAGTATAATAGGAAATGGGCCTGTGACTTCATTGATCTAGGGAACTCCTTCTACCAATGCAGTGCAGTCACTTCTCTGCATTTTATTAGGGAGAATCCTAGGACACTAAGAATTTCGGTGCCCACATTCACATAGTATGTATCAGAAGTAAAATCTGAACCAAGAACTTCCTGGCTCCAAGGCCAGCTCTATCCATATCACTATATTGCTTCTCCTTGAGTATAACAAAGAGTCAGAAGGTTGAAAGAACCAGGCAAAGTTCTACAGGAAAATCAGAGGGAGAGATTTCAAGGGGAGTGGGAGAATAAAGATAAGAAAAGCCTTCATGGAAATAAATGATGGTACCTGAGCTGACCCCCTAAAGGATGACAGAGATTCAAAGTGGCAGAGATTAGGCAGGAGTCCATTTCATGCAAGGCAGATGACCTTTGCAGATGCACAGAGACAGGAGAGAGCAGAGCAAACATTGGGAATAGCCAATTGTTTCCCTTGACTAGAGCATAGAGTACTTGAAAGGAAATAATGTGAAGGGCACTAAATGCATGCCAAGAAGTTGATATTTTATCCTATTGGCAATAGGTTCTAGGTCATGAGTTCTTAACTTTTTGGTTTTATTTTGTGTCTTGGATCCCTTTGGCAGTCTGATGAAGCCTAATACTTCTGTGGTTTGTAACCTACATTCACTATGGAAGGAAATGATAAATTTCAATAGAGGTAAGTGAAAATAGAAATATATTTATATAGAGAGAGGTTAGTGAAAATATATACATATATATATTTCCTCATCCAAGTTAATAGATGCCCTGAAATCTTAACCAACTTAAGAAATTCTGGTTTAGTTGAATTACATATACTGGGATATTGAAAAGGATTGGCAGAGTAGTCTTTGATAAATCACGGGAAATGGGAGGCCTTCTCCAGTTTTTGCAGTACAAATGTCCCAGTTTTCAAAACTGGAAAGAGGGTGGAGTCTACAAATTACAAGCTGTTGAACTTGACTTTGATTCCTTGTAAAATTACAGAACATATTAAAACAATGGTTTGTGAGTATTTTAGAAGTGGGAGTTATAATCACAAGGAGCCAGCATGGTTTCAATAAGAACAGAACTTGCCAAATGAATCTCACTTCCTTTTTAAATTAAAAACATTTTTTTATGGAGTTACTGGTCTGGTAGATCAAGGGAATGCTATAGACATGATAGAACTGGATTTCAACATGTGTCATCTGTCTTTGTTGACAAGATGGAGAGATGTGGGCTGGTTTATTAACATGAATGGACTTGGTACATGTAAGTATCTTTGGAAATGAATTGATGACTAGAACAAAAGAGTAATTGCTTTGGAGAGAAGTCTCTGGTGGGATGCCTCAGATATATGTTCTTGGGTTTGTGCTGGGTAACTTTTCATCAGTGACTCTGATGAAGTTACAGATGGCAGACTTATCAAACTGACAGATGACACAAAGCCCAAAGGGCTAATTAACATAAATAATTAACTGGACAGTTCAAGTCCAATCAAATCACTGGACAGATGGAAATGATTCTAATAAGCTCAGCTTGCTCAATTTACATCATATTTGCCTTTATATACACTATGTTTCACTTAAACTATTGCCAGGAGTCAATATTCCACCTTCAGGGTCCTCCATACCTGTAACATACTCCCTTCACTCCTCTGCTGCTAAAATTCCTAGCTTCTGGATTCAGCTTAGGTGCCACTTCTATGAAAACTTGCCTAATTCTCCCCACCCCCAAATTGCTCTCTCTCTCAAATTTTTGTATTTATCTGTTTATATGTTATATCCACTTGGTATAATGAAAGCTTTCTGAAAGTAGGAGCAATTTTGTTTTGACTTTGTCTCTGTGGTACTACAAATAATAGCCATTTAATAAACATTTGTTGAATTTCATTGGTGAAATTTAGTAGGGATAAGTTTAAAGTCTTATATTTGTTTTTAAAAATCACTAAACAGGCCTAAACACATCAGCCAGTCAAGTAATTATTAAATCTCTACTATGTGTAGGTGGGAGGGAGGGGGCGGAGAGGAGATATAAAAACAACCACCAAAAAAAATCCCCTACCCTCAAAGAAAATACATTCTATTGGAGGAGTAGGGAACTATATGCACAGAAAAATAAATATATAATGATATGTACAGAGTAATGGGGTGGGGGACATTAGAAACAGGGGGATTAGAATAGGCCCCTTGGATGAGTGGTACTTGAACTGGGCTTTGAAGGGAGCTAGAGATTCCAGGATATGGAGTTAAGAGGGCAGTGTATTCCAGGGATGGACAAAGGAATGGAGATGAGAGATAGAATGTGGAGGGAAACAGCAGGAAGGCCAGTTAGGCCAGATTATAGTAGGAATAAAAGGGAATAATTCTCAACAAGCATAGAAAGGTAGTCTGGAGCCACATGGTAAAGGACATTATACTCCGAATAAAGGAATTTATATTTTATCTTGGAGGCCAGAGGGAGTCTCCTCTGGAAGTTTTTGAGCAGGAACTTTAGGAATGCACTTTAGGAATATCATTTCGGCAATACTGTAAAGAAAAGAAGATGGGAGATCCTTATTAAAGCAGGGAGCTTAGTTAGGAGGTATTACTATTGTCCATCATAGATAAATTCCTGTACTACAAAACAAGAAGAATTACTTCATGTTGCCAGAAATGAAGAGTTCACTCACCAAAGGACAATTCGTATCAAAATGGATTTTTCAAGGAAGGTTAGGGAAGGTAGCATAAACTGGAAGGTCAATGGGCTGTGACCCCAGAATTATCTACTTAGCAAAACTCCACATGTTTTATGAAGACAGGAGATGCCTATTTGAAAAGAAAATAGACTTTGAAAAATTTACAGAAAGATACAGCACTTACAGGAAGTCTTCAAATAAGAAGATTGTAGCAAAAAAAAGATAAGATCATTTAAAAACAACTAAAAACCCCAACTGTTAAAGAGGTGTTGAGTCATTTTATTGACTAAATTATTCACTGGAAGGGGGAAAACTAAGCAGGGAAGGGGATGAGGGGAAGTGATCCAAAATAAAACTCCAATCTTCAGTAAAGAGGAAGACCAAGTTAATGTAGCCTGTGTGGTTATTAATGGAAGAAAAAGTAATGCTATCAAGAAAAGTTCAGATAATTCTGAATAACAGAAATAATAAGATTGAGACGATATATATTCCCTTCAGATATATAATGGCTGAAGAAAATGCAAATCTAAGACTTAATAATGATAGATACAGATAGGTTAAATTCCTCTATCCAGTCCTCTCCAAAAGCAAAAAAATTACAGAAAGGATTGAAAATCAGAATACTTTGCTGGATCAAACATTTGATCCAGAAAGATATCAATAAATTAAAAAAAATTAACAATAACTGTAATAGCAGTAATTGACATTTAGTTTGCAATATTAAAGTGTATAAAAGTAATTGACAAATAAAAGTTTGAGCCAAAGCTTGCCTTGATAATGAGTCTTTCTTTAGATATTTGTTGGCCACATGACCCAGAAGAGGTCATTTTGCTTTCTGTTTCCTAGGATTCCTCACCTGTAAAAATGGGGATGATGGTGTTATTCTCACAAGGTTGTTATGAGAAAAGCACTTTGTACGCCTTAAAATTCTGCTTGGATGTGAGCTAGGGTTGTTTTTTATTACTGTTAAATCATGAAAAACAAGTGGCATTAATCAGACAAAGCTGAATTCAAACTAGAAATAGATAAAGATATGCTCATAGAATCCATAAAAATGAGAATGTATCCATCTTAAATATATTTGCATCTAATAATTCTGCAGCTGAATTCAGGAAGGAAAACCTCATAGCCTTGCAGGGAGAAATAGATTTTTGAAATAATGAATCTATAAGGAAATGGTGCATATTTATGAGGCTAAAATTACCCATTTCAATGCACCCAAAGGACATGAACAGACAGTTTACAAATGAAGAAATAGACTAATAACTCCATAGAAAAATGCTCAAGTTTCTTAATAAGCAGAAAAATTCGAAGTAAGGCAACCTTAAGATACTATCTTTGGAGCCAGGAAAACAATATACAAAGTGACTACAGCAATGTAAATGGAAAGAATGACATACTAAAAAAAACCAAAAGCAAATGTAACAGAATTATAAAGATCTAGAAAGCGTGGGGAACCTTCAGCCTTGAGGCCACATATGGCCCTCTAGGTCATCAAGTTCGGCTCTTTGACTGAATCCAGGCTTCACAGAACAAATATCCTTAATAAAAGAATTTGTTCTGTAAAACTTGGACTCAGTCAAAAGGCAGCACCCAAAGACCTAGAAGGCCACATGTGGCCTTGAGGCTGCTAGTTCTCCACCCCTGATAGCAGGACTCAAATGAAGAGAGGTGAGAATATATCCCCAGCCTACCCTTTCATGGCAATAGAAAGTCCACAGGTGTCACACATTGCGTGTGTTTTCAGGCTAATTCAATGTATTGATCAGTTGTTCTGACTTTTTGTTCCTTCTCTTTAAAAAATTATCATATGGGATGGCTTTCTGGGCCTAGGAGAGGAAGGATAACTATGGTGATGTAAGAAACAGAAAATACCAATAAAAGCTTTTTTAAAAACAATATATTTATTTTTAGTTTTCACCATTCACTTCCATAAGATTTTGAGTTTTAAATTTTGTCCCCCCACCCCTGCCTCAAGATGGTGTGCAATCTGATATAACCTCTAATTATACATTCATATTAAGCGTATTTTCCCATTAGTCATAATGTAAAGAACAATTAGAACTAATGGGAGGAACCACGAGAATGAAGCAATAAAACATAACAACAAAGAAAAAGGAGAGCAAATAGTGTGCTTCTATCTGCATTCAGACTCCATAGTTCTTTCTCTGGATGTGGCTAACCTTTTCCATCATTTGTCTTTTAGAGTTGTCTTAGATCTTTTCATTGCTGTGAATAGCCAAATCTATCAAAGTCAGTCATCGCACAGTGTGGTATTACTGTGTATAATGTTCTCCTGGTCCTGCTCACTTCATTCAGCATCAGTCTATACAAGTCTTTCCAGGTTTTCTGAAGTTGGCCTGCTCATCATTTCTTATAGTACAAAAGTATTCCATTACATTCATATACCACAACTTGTTCAGCCATTCTCCAATTGATGGGCATCCCCTCAATTTCCAATTCTTGGCCACTACAGAAAGAACTGTCATATTTTTGTACATGTGGGTCTTTTTCCCATTTTTATGATCTCTTTAGGATACAGCCCTAGAAGTGCTATTGCTGGATCAAAGGGTATGCACAATTTTATAGCCCTTTGGGCATAGTTCCAAATTGCTCTCCAGAATGGTTGGATCAGTTTACAACTCCACCAACAATGTATTAGTGTTCCAATTTTCCCGCATCTTCTCCAACATTTATTATTGTCTTGTTTTGTTGTGTTAGCCAATCTGACAGGTGTGATATGGTACCTCAGAATCATTTTGATTTGCATTTCTCTAATCAATAATGATTTAGAACATTTTTTCACATGACTATAGATAGCTTTAATTTCTTCCTCTGAAAACTGCCTGTTCACATCCTTTGACCATTTATCAATTGGGGAATGACTTATGTTCTTATAAATTTGACTTAATTCTCTATATATTTTAGAAATGAGGCCTTTATCAGAGACACTGGTTGTAAAAATTCTTTCCTGGTTTTCTGCTTCCCTCCTAATCTTGGATGCATTGGCTTTGTTTGTG